AAGCAACGTATGTCTTAAAACATCTGTAAATGTCTACCGAATTTATCATGGGGAGTGTTCTGAGGAATTGTTCGGCTTCTGCTGCTGATTTTCACCACCGTACAACCCGCCATAAACTAAAGTTTCAACCCAATCATCTGGACAAGTGGCGGTCTTCCACCGTGCGTTTTTCAAGGCACTTTGTTCCACGCACAACTATTCTTTGGAATCAACTTCCAGCAGCAGTATTTCCGAACCGATACGACAACATAACCTTCAAGAAAAGAGTATATTCCTTTTTAAACGGCCGGCAGTACACCTGCAATGCCGCTCATGGGCGGCGGTAGTCACTTACCATCAGGTGAGCCGCATGCTCGTTTGCCCCCTGTGTTGTAAAAAAAAAACTGCGGTTGCCAAGCATAGCGTCTACGGGCAAAACTCCACTTATTGGGAAGGCTTATGTTCAGCAGTGGACAGTTAACGGATGAAATTCTAATGACTGTTTTATGATTCTCATAAAATGTGCTTTTTGACCTCCCTGTTTTCACTTCTGATATTTAGCAGGCTAGATAAAAATGCCGTATACATATCACCATATCAGTTTTTAAGTGTCCACTGCTTAGTATAAGTCTCCCTCTTGGGCGATTTAACTAGTTTAGCTGCAGATTGGCAACCGAAGTTAGGCTTTGGAGATGTTTTAAGAGGGACGCTGCTGCCCATCTCTTACTCTTCTCTTATGACACCCACGGGAAAGGAAGGGGTGGCCTATTCTATGCCGGGGCCACACGGCAATGTATACGTATAATTGTATTATTTTTTTAATTTATATTCATTTTTAACCATTCATCTGAATTACATATAATCTAATGCATAACAATTATATAACTATATAAATATATTTAAACTATTTAACCGTAAATTAATTATATAACTGCACTCGTTAAAAACTCATTGTACAGTTATATATAAATAGTTAATATGTAACAATTAAAAATATTTTTAGTTATTAATTCGTAATTAATACGTTTCGTCTTAATGCTTCTGTCCTGAATTGGTTTTTAATTTTGTTTCCAAATTTAGAAATATCTTCCATTTAAATTATCAAAGTATTCCATTAATGAGATTGTTTCGTAATTCTAACGAAAATAAACAAATAGCTAACGTATTTTTATCGACGACATAGAAATGTCACATTGTAAGGAGTCTTCATACAACGGGTTATCGCCAATTAAAATTTGATGTATTGTCACAAAGGGGTTTTTTAAAGGATGATAATAAAATGGTAGGGTTACCATGCCTGTGCAATCGGTATACACTGGCAGGGCACCAGTGAGGGATGATTGGTGAGAATGAAAAGGCAGGTCAGTTAGCCTATTGTGATGAATACACCTGGAATTCAGCATGATGGTTTCTAGTGGAACTACGTGGATGTGAACTTGACGACGTATATTGCTAGCATTGGGTCTGGTAGTCCGTATTACTGGCAATCCCCCCTCTCACAAAGGTTGTCATATTTTTTAGTCTACTTCAAAACGAGATTCTCGCGTTTTCAATATGAATGTAATGTAATATTATGATATGCCAGTGAATTTACAAGGTACAGAGAAATAACACCTGAGTCCTCAGGAATGGCAACGCAGGGGGGGTATCATGGGCGAAACAGTATACTCTGTTATGTCCATGGTACTGCTCATGTCTATAGGCGATGATTACCACTTTCCATCAGGTGGGCCGTCAGCTTGTTTGCCATTCTAAGTTGCATAAAATGTAATGTAATCTACTATAATGTTGTTACTCTAAATTTAATTTAGTTGATTGTAAGTATTGACGATATCATGTGCATAGTTCAATCTTGATTTTATTTGTCGAAACCTGTACTTGGCTTTTTGTTTTTACTGTTTTCTTTTTTACGTTCTGTGGGTTTTTTCTTTAACAAAAAAATTAAATAAATATCGTTTTTAAACAATATTGTGTTGCGAAATGAACAACTTTTGAATTTTCTAAATTCTAATAAATTACAAATTTACTACGCGACTAGACTAAATCAGTAAGTCAGTATAATTATGTTCAGTCGAGTCGAGGATAGCGTCAAGTCCAGTTGTATTAAGTTACTGGACAAGTTTGGGCTAAATTTGGACAGTTTATTCAAGTTTGACCAAATTTGGCCCAGTTAGGCTAATTTTGGTCAAATTCAGCTAAATTCGGCCAGTTTAATAAAAATTTACTAAAATAAAAGCTCGATTGAGCTAACTTTGACCAGTTAAATTCAAACTATACGAAGTTAAACTAAGTTTGTTTTAACTTGATTAAATTTGGTCAAATTTGGCCAGTTTTGGTCAATTTAATTTTCCTTCAATTGGAGGAGATTACAACCAAATTAGCTAAGTTTTAACCTCCATCTATTAAAGTTGGTTGAAAATTAATGATTTAACAACTTGATAAAGCTTGGCCAAACTTACATAAAATTGCCCAAAACTTTCTATAAAATTATTCGCATCTTAGACCATAGTATCGCTTTTCAACAGGTGAGTTTAAGATAAATCACAGAGCCCTTTCAAAAGTAAAAAAAAAAAGAAATAAAAAAATAATTACATCCGCCATTTGTTTTGTCACATTCAATATCATAAATACCACATTTATTAAAACACAAATTTATTAAAAACTAGCGTCCCGTCATTTTTACATTTTAAAAAGTGGCCATTAAGGCTGCACACACGACGTAAGCTTAAAAATGGAGCAACTTCTCCCGTTTTCCCAACATTTCGCTTCACTGCTCTTTTCCTATTGATCGTAACGTGATGAAAAGTAAAATACTATAACCTGCCCAGGAGTATGAAGAATAATTGTACCAAGTTTCGTTAATATCCGTCGAGTAGTTTTTTTTCTGTAACGAACATACAGACAGACAGACAAAAATTTTACTGATTGCATTTTCGGCATCAGTATCGATCACTAATCACGCCCTGATAGTTATTTTGGAAATATATTTCATGTACAGAATTGAACTCTCTACAGATTTATTATAAGTATAGAAGATATAAACGATATCCAGAATACCATATTTGATGACCAAAAATGTCCAAAATAATAAAATTCAAAAGTCAACAATAAAATGCAGGCGTTAACTTTTGGCAGGTACTGAGTGAATGTATGGCAGCTCGTTACCTCTCCGTCCCGTCTCTCTTCCAAAGTTACCCTACGTAGAGCCCTTCGTAAAACTACTGTATGAAAATTAGTTCTTTATACTGTGGAAATTATTAGAACTATTGAGGACAGAAGGAGAAAAATGTTGGGACACTTGATACGACACGACGAACGTATGAACATTATAATAGAAGGTAAGATAGAAGGAACGAGGGGGAGAGGGAGACCGAGACATAGTTACATCAGGCAGATCAAGGAAGGAGTTGGTGTCGTGTCGTATCAAGAGGTGAAGAGATTCGCTGAAAATCGTAGTGAGTGGCAAGAGCTCCACCGACAAGAGCGCAGCTCTTAAATAGATAGATACTCGTAGACTGTGGAAATATCAAGTAGTGGTAATAAAATATTAGAAGTGTTATACATAGGGACATAATCCTTTTACATGTATTAGGTATAATTTAGATGTGTTATGTTGTCCAGTATCAATGGTGTGCTCGTATCGTAACTCCTGTTATCCTAGTAGTCCTAGAGGACTAGAGGAGTCCGAGGAGTCCTAGGACTAGATCATTATTAGCGATTAATGTATGAACATAGTTTTTTAGTACACTTACTAACAAAAATGGATCCAGATTATCTAAAATATATAAATTAAATAAAAAATATTTATCTTTTTTTTATTAGCTATTTTTTTCTTTTGCCTCCACCAATTCTTAATTTTTCTCAGACATTCAAAGGATTTAATAAGATAACTGGAATAAATCCCTTTTATGGGGATATGGACTTATGTCCGCCATTGTTTTCCTAAAAACTCTTTATCCTATAATTTAGGACTTTACTGTACTATAAAGTGTTACAATAAAAAAAAAACTTTTATGAAAAAGTAAAACGACCCCGTATAAGCAGTTTAACTTTCTTGTCTGTATTCTGGAATAGAGATTTCCTGTGTATTTTTGGAAATAGAATTATTGTAAGTACCAAATCATTGTCAGAATATCAGCCGTCCATTATTCATTGCACAACATAGATGCCCACCATAAAAAGGAATTTTACCAATAATTTGGGCTTTGGAGATGTATTAAGAGGGGCGTTACTGCTCATTCCTCTACAATTAAGTTCCTTTAGTCTCCTCTTATGACGCCCACGGGGAAGGAAGGGTACTATGTACCAAATACTTTGTAAAAAAATCAAGAATTTGTTGTCGGTTGTTGTTGTGAACCAAAATTTGTCTGCTTCTTTTTTCAACAGCTTGAATCATCGTCATCTGATGATGATGATGATTGATATGATTATCAGCGGTATTATATATCATTGACAGGCGGATTGGTAACCGCAATCGGGTTCTAAAGATGTAGTATAATTATTATATATTAAGATTTTATTATAAACTAGCTAACTTTAATATTTTTTGTATTTTTTTACGTCAATATTTCCGATATGTTATTTGTTAATCTACTATACGGGGCGGAGACGAAACCAAAAAATCATAGATCATTGAAATCTGTCCAGCCGTTCTAGAGTTAAAAATGATATAACTAACCCGACATTATTGGGGGAGGGGGGAAAGGGATTGTTAGTAATCGAGACTGAGAATCCCATTGCTAGCAATATACCCAACCAGGTCAACCTCCCCGCGGTTCCTCCCGGAAACTATCATGGTTAATTCTTGATGAATTTATCATGATGGACTAACTGGCCTGTTTTCATTCTCATCTATCACCCTTCACTGGTGTTCCGCCAGCGTATCCCGTTAGTGCAGCCGGGGTTACCATACCATTTTCACCCATCAATAAAAACCTTCTTTATTTTATTTATATAGATATATGTACATAAGTAAACAATATATTTAATAACGTAACTATTTAGTAAAAAAAAAACTCGTATAAATAATATATATGTATTTCATTCAATCGATATACATTCAATAAATATATATAAAGTCGTTTTCTAATTCGTTTATTGGACTGGTCCTTTGATAAATTTATCCAGCGAACCCGCTTCCAAACCCTCCGCCGTAGCCTTGTTGTCCACCAGCGTAGTTTCCGAAGCCACCGGAGCTTCCACCTCCAGTTCCGAAGCTGCTGCCGCCACCCATTTCGTGGCCAGCGGAGTGTTGGGCGTTGGTAATCTGAGACAAAAATACATACGACGTTCATATAAGCAGAAATTAAAATGTTCGTATTAATATAACAACTGCCCGCTCCGGCTTCGCGCGGATATTTCACTTTTCCGTACAATTTTCCAAATTTTTTTCATACAAATCTTGTCTTAAAAATTACAAACAACAAAATAAGAATTCTCCAAGTAGGTCCAAGAGTTCTGAACAGATGCGCTTACATACATTTGGCAATGGACATACATATAAATATCCTTGTATAAAATATTTTAGCTTACTATGATCTATTGGAGGAAACAATAAAGAGTATCTATCTATCTATTAAAGATAAACATCTTAGTTAATTTTTTTTTCTGTTTATTTGCAGAGTCAGTTATATTTTACTAGTCTACGATCGACTGGTAGAGAATAGAGAGACTACTAGACGGAGGCTTTGTACAAAAGTCGTTTGCTTGGGTCTTACCTCTGTCTCATTCGTGTTTCAATCGTGAAACAGTTATGTTTGCATGTTTCAGTTTGAAAGGTGGGATATGGCAGTGAATTTACAGGGTACAGAGGCATAACACCTTATTTCTCAGGAATGGCAACGTATGGGGGGTATCATAGGCGAAACAGTATACTCTGTTATGTCCATGGTACTGCTCATGTGTATAGGCGACGGTTACCACTTTCCGTCAGGTGGGCCGTTAGCTTGTTTGTCATTCTAAGTTGCTTAAAACATTTATATTATCTAAGTGTATTAAAGATTAATATAGAAATCAGTTGAAAAATATTTTCAAATACCTGTGTGAACTGACTGTCATCATGACCTTTGGAGAATCCTCCTTGAGCGCCGCCTGCGTGGAAACCTTGTTGGCCGTAACCCTGGGAACCCTGTCCAAATCCACTACCGCCGTATCCACCGGAATGCATTGCACCACCTACGGGCATTATGCCTCCTCCCATCGCACCAGGCATCATCGGGCCCATCATGCCCATACCGGTCCCGAAGGGTAAAGCTTGCGCTGCCAGTATGCAGGCAAGAACAGCGACAATCTGTTAACAAAAATATATGTTAATTTTTCATTGAAATGTCCTATGCCGATATGTGATTTTAGCGATCTTCTTAAATCCAAAGGTTAGGTATACCCTTCCCATGTTGACTCTACTAATTTTATTATCATGAAAATTAAATTTTTGTAGAAAATATTAAACAATAAAAATATAGTTAAAAGGAATATCCCCTCCCATACATTAAAAAAAATACAAAGTAAATCTTATATCCAATTGTTGAATTAAGGCACTAAGTCTTTTAAATGTCAAATGGCAAGTATTGATTCCTACACGAATTTGGTAATATCAGTCGAAATAAACAACCGGTAATTGTAAACAAACCCACTCGTTTTACGAAAAACCTATGAATCCAGTAATTTGTAACTACCGACCACGCCTCACATTGTGTTGAAAGCATGTGGATCGTATGTCATATAGGATATCGTTTCATTTGGTTGTTTAAACGAATAAGTAACAGTAAACTAGTCGTATTAAAGCAACAATATATATTTACTAATCGAATTTTGATTGCTCTCGTTAATTTTTTTTTTTCGTAGTTTAATACTTTGAACAGATCTCTTACGTCATTATGCCTTTAATATTTATCACTAATAGATTCTATACTTAGGTAAATGTATTTATAGAATTAAAAATTGAAATATCAAAATAGATACACGACGAAAATTCCCAGAGTAATCATGATCAGATAGACCGTGTATCTAAAGAAGGAATCAGAAGTCTCTAGAAACAACGTATACCTATAGCTATGAACACTATTAATACACAATTTTGTCTTTCTATAAATTTATGTGCATTATTCTTGTAATCTTTAAGTCTTAGGCTTAAAGACTATTAATAAGGGTCCATTTCAAATATTTAGATGAATGCAAGTTATCAATATGCGTAAATCTAATATAATTCTCATAATTTATGTCCTAGTTAAAGTGGATGAAGCAAAAGATGTGTTTTAAAGGTTTTAACACTCATTCCCCACTTCCTATTCCCAAAACTTGCCACTAAATTTATACAACCAAACATTTACAAAACTAATAATAAATATTAATGGAGTGTGTTATTATCAAAAACAAATTAAGTTATGCTGAAAACAAGAACAGTAACTTTTATAATGTATGTATTAAATTGTACCGGAAAATACGGTCCGCAAAAGTGTGCCGGCAATGTTGTAAGAGAGCTGCTCGGAACACAGGTGGCGTTAACTTTTTAAGTCAATAAAGCAATAAAAATTAGGTAGGTACATTTCACAGTGAGGCAGCCGTAAAAGCAATCTAAGGTACAATGTTGCTTACAATACACAGAAGAGCTATAAACATTGCTAAGTATTACCCATTTAAGGTACTTAAAAGTATTGGAAGTTGCGAAATAAGATAGTGAAATGTGCTAAATTTTAGATCACTTGAAGATTTTATGAGTGAATTCAAGAAAATCCAGTGTAAAATAGTTGACATAAGGTTTTGATTTATTCAAAAGATGAAAACTGTGTGGTACCAGCATAGAATAGGCTACCCCTTCCTTTCCCGTTGGTGTCGCAAGAGAACTTATAGTCGAGGGTTAGGCAGCAGCGTCCCTCTTAAGACATCTCCAAGCTCTAACTACGGCAACTACTGGCAAAACTCCTCTAGAGGGAGTCTTATGTTCAGCAGTGGACAGTTGAGGGCTGATGTAATGATGGTGATGAAAAGATGTAAAAGATTTATTCAATAACTTACCAAGACCTTCATTGCCATTGCTATTACAAAATCCAACGACTGAATGATTCGATGTAACAAGAACTAATACTTTTATAGGGAGTTAATTGTGTTATCATACCAATGGCAACTCACTTTTAAATGATTCTTTAACGACTCTGGTTTTTGTACAGCAATTTGGAATATACGTAATTGATCATTCGAGAAATTTTATAAACCAAGAAAAACCTAATTGCGTTCTTTCTAAGAACGATTTCAGAAATATATCAACTTGTTAATATTTCATTGAAGACTGACGAATAGGTAAATATAGATTTTTATGACAAAGAAAATACACAGGTCTTGTGATTGGTTGCTAACCAACTAAATAAGGCCAATTAAATAATGAAGGGAACATTAGTCACGTGGAAAAGGGCATCGAACTTAATATCAAGGAAAACATACAAAAGAAACAGGATCTTAAATCAATACAATACAATACAATTTAGATGTACGTTACCATACGTACATCTACTAGAAGCATAGCTTTGGCGAACTCGCCTATTCACCATTACATATTCATCCGGAGTATATTTTTTATTTTATGCAACTTAAAATAGCAATCAAGCTGATAGCCCATTTAATGGAAAATAGTTACTGGTGTCTATGAAATGAAATGAAATGAAATGAATTTATTTTGCTAGAATGCAGGTAATTTTAGATGATAGAGGTTTATATTTCCCGTGTACATTCTGCCTCTATGTCGGCGTGCAAATTTTTAATAACGTAATAAATTATATATATATATATATATATATATATATATATATATATATATATATATTCTACATATTATATTTCCTTTCCTTAGTCATACAATATATTTTTTTAATTACAGTAAACGGAAAATAAAAGCCTGTACAATAGTTGTCCAAATTAATAAAATATTTTAACAACTATACTAACTATAAACATGAACAGTACTATGGACATAACAGAGTATACTGAATTAATGATTATATTTGAATATATAATTATATATGTTATTGTATTAATATAACAATGTACAATTATCAAAACTGTCAAAAAAATATCCAAATTTCTCCAAGCCCATTTCACTATTCTTCAAACATGTCTCCAAAAATTTTTTTTGTAAACTTCGCGAACAAATTAATTTTTACCTAAAATCGCGGAAAAAATGTCCAATCGGACAATGCAGGGGATCCTGTATTGTCGGATTGGTCCTTAGGGAATATGAGGCTGTACATTTTGTTATATTATTGTAGGCCGCCCATTGTTTTCTTAGTGTCATCTTGTAATTGTTTGTGTTTATGATAAATTTACTGCTCTAATCTTTTCGAGGGAACAGTAAAAAGTGTCTGTCTATCTATCTATTATCGGTATCGGTAGAATTATAAAAATGAAATGAAATTTCAAATTTTCGAACTCAATTTTGTGTTTTTGTTCATACCGAAATCAGCCCAGTAAATGAAGCTTCACATTTCGTTTGTTATAAATTCTAGCATAAAGTCCAAAGAAACAATATTTTAACATTTTTAAACGGCATATATTGTGTAATTTTAACATCAAATTTTTATTTAGTTTTTTTTATACCACTGAAGTGGAAAACAAGCATACGGCCCACCTGATGGTATGCGGTTACCATAGCCAATGAATGCCTGCAATTACAACAGCGGCATTACGCGCGCGTTGCCAACCCTGAAGAAACCTCTTTACCCCCCTTTTGAGGAGCCCCATGCTGTAGTCTCTTGGGAAAACCTCGGCAGAGAGCTCATTCCATAACCTGAGTGTTCGTGGGAGACAACATCTTTGAAACTGCGTTGTACGCGATCATCTATGCTTCAGCCCCGAAATTTCGGAAAACATTTCACGGTAGGCCTTTAGGTCCTACCGTTCGTGGTCACGAGTAGTTAATTCTCGTCTCTTATAAATCATAAAACATGCAGCGCAAAAGTCTAAAAGTTAATCTATTCCTTCATGTCTACAGTCGATAGTCGTCATTTTCTATTAGATGGACTTTCAGTACTCGGTGCTATAAAAATAACCCTTGCTTTGCTAGTTCATAAATAAATCGTGTCGCTAACGAGCACATTACACTGGCAATTTTGTACGAGCTCACGTCGAGATGGGATCATTAGAGAACTTTACAACCTTTCATTTGTGACTGAAGTGCTTGTTTTTTACCTTTGTCATTCTTTAGGGCAGGGGTTCCCACACTTTTGTCTTCTGCGCGCTTTGAGAATAAATTATTTTTTAGCGCCCCCATTTTTTCACCCACTTAAAAATTACTATTACTTCAAATGACAAATCACCCCCCAAGCCTCTACACAACGCCCCCATTTTCTGGGTCTCTTACCGCCTTCCTTTAGGCCTGCAGCGCTCACAAGGGGGCGTTATTGCCCACTTTGCGAAAGGCTGCTCTAGGGCATTCCTCGTTATTGTATTACTATTTGTTTTGCTCGCCTTCGCACGTGATCTCATTCTTCATCATATGAGCCGTTTACTGTCCACTGCTGATCATAGGCTTCCCCTTATTGGAGGGTTTTGTCAGTAGTTACCACGCATGGCAGTCAGGTTGGGTTGAATGTGGCCGTATTTCGATGTTGAACAGCCCTATTATAACCTTCCTCAAAAAATGAGCTATTAAATGCGAAAATAATTCAAATCCAACTGGTAGTTCTAAAGATTGGCGTGTTTAAACAAACCCCTTTGCTTTATATAGTATTTTATCGTACTGCCGCATTTAATCAAAGGTGAGTTTGTTTATTATCTCTTAACGTTTTTTTTTTTTTTATAAAACTTAGAATGGCAAACAAGTTGACGGCCCACCTAATGGAAAGTGAGAACCGTTGCCTATAGACATGAGCTTATACCATGGACATAACAGACCAAATATTGCGTCCTTGATACCTCCCCATGCGTTGCCATTCCTGAGGACTCGGGTGTTATTCCTCTGTAACCTGTAAATTCACTGCCATATCCCACCCTTCAAACCGAAACACAGCCATGCAAACAACTGCTTCACGGTTGAAACACGAATGGGACAGAGACAGACAGATATCTTATTCTCTTTCGTATAACCCGTCTGTCCACATCCAATCTCATTTCTATCGGTTTACTGTTAGTATACATTTAAAACGATAATTAATTGTCACGATGACATGATGTGGTTCTACAGCTCAATTGCTTTTAAATAGTGTTAGGTTAACCTATATATTTTGCCCATTTGTTTAATATTGTTTCTACTTAACTTTTATATGTATCATCAACATTATTAATCGATAATTACTATATTATTGTTATTATATTTAATAATACATCTAGTTGTACTGTTTAGTTTTCAATAAATTAAAAAGATTTACTACTTAAGTTAATTAAATAGTTTTTTTTTTTTTATAGTTAGAGGTGCATTTGTGCACCAAACACAACTGCTTCACGGTAGAAACACGAATGGGACAGAGGTAGCAATCGACTTTTGTACAAAGTCTCCCTCTGGTAAAATATAAATGTGTATCTATTCACGATTCCTGTTGCCACTTTTCGTACTCATTGTCAGAAAACTCGGGGACTCGTACGAAAATGAGGTTATCTTATGAGTACTGCTCCGAAGGAACTTAGGCTTTATATTTTTGGCCTTGTTTAGTCAGTCATATATTTACTTAGTTAATATATTACTAGCTTATGTCCGCAATTTCGTACGCATACTTTCAAAATTTCTTGCTTTTTTTTTTTTTTTTTAATGGATGATAATGGAATGGTAGCCCCGCCTGCGCTAACGGTATACGCTGGCGGGGCACCAGTGAGGGATGTTACGTGAAAATGAAGCAGGTCAGTTAGCCCATCGTGATGAATTCAACAACAAATTAGTCACGATGGTTTACAGGGGGAACCGCGTGGAGGTCGACCTGATAGGGTACATTGATGGCAATGGGGATTAACCCCCCCATTACTAACAATCCCTTCCCCCCTTTTACTTTTTGTTCACCTACACTATATAAAGATTATATATGTGCAAAATTCCAAGATTCTAGATTTAGTGGCTTCGGCTGTACTTTGATATATGGGTCAATCAGTTAGTGATGCAGCGTCCTCTTTTATATATATAAGTATAATAACCTCTGTTTATAATCCCTAAATAAATAATTTTAGACTGCTAATTAATGTGAAAAGCTTTTCCTTAGAGTGGATTTAACTTTATTAAGAGGATTTCTCCGCACAACGTTAATGAATGGTTAACGCTAAAATGTGATACAGTAAAAACACATTTATACGTCAGAATTCAAACATATTTGCCATATGGCATTAAGCTCGCCACTAGTACAAAGTTATTGTTTTATAATTATTCTTTATAGCACAATAATATGTAATAAATAATAAATAAATATTTAAACACTTTTCAAGATGATCATTTTAGCCGTTATATGCCCACTGTTGAACATAGGTTTCCCACATAGACTGCTATAAGAAAGGGGAGCTTTCCTTATGGTACCATTGGGGGGGATTTTATCAGTAAGTGCCACGTTTGGCAAGCGAATTAGTATTTAAACTGTTTAACATATTATTTATTGATAATTCAAACTGTTCTTGTAGCAAACCAAAATATTAAAGTTTTAAGCCTAACATTTGTATATTGGAATTTGATGATAGAACGAACGGTTGTTTTTATAAGGTCTGAATCAATTTTTTTATACAACTTAGAGTGGCATACAAGCTGACGGCCCTCCGGATGGAAAGTGGTAACCGTCGCCTATACACATGAGCAGTAACATGGACATAACAGAGTATACTGTTTCGCCTATGGTACCCCCCATGCGTTGCCATTCCTGAGTACTCAGGTGTTATTCTTCTATACCCTGTAAATTCACTGCCATATCCCACCTTCAAACTGAAACACAGCCATGCAAACACAATTGCTTTACGGTACGAATGGGACAGAGGTGCCCAAGCAAACGACTTTTGTACAAAGTCTCCCTTTGGTAAGAATAACTTAATAAAATAACTATTAATTCTTTAAAAACATATTTATGTGCATGTTATTCTACGACGAACCATTCAGTTGTATAGAAAACAATATTTTTAATTATTCACGAATATTGAAAATTGTTTTTTGCCTTATAAAGTAGC